AATAAGGCGACTTAACTCTCAGGGGTTTTACTGTAGTTTTGGTTTGGCTTTGAAGTGTAAGTCTCGTTTGATTTAAAATCGTGTTTCAGCATTTGTTGTATCTGTTCAGGTAAACATATCGTCTCATCAACTATAGTCCAGAATACGAAAACGTTAGTGTAACCCACCTCGAACGGTTCGATATGTCGATGTTTTCCTCTAGCCCTTTGAACTTCGAAACATCGATGCTTAACTATAGTTATAAAGGGCATATATTGCATGTTTTTAAAATCATTTTTCTGTAATATTTCCTTGGGTATTGTCTAGAAACAATTTTTTGCAACTAAAACACAACTGAAATCTCTATATTTGTCTGCATTTAGAAATAAATAAAATCGATGACAAAATAATATCTTCATATTGTAGTTTTTCCGTTACTAATCCTTAGGTTATCGAAATATTTCTATTACATGTGTCCTTAATGTCCCGCAATTATATTAGAGTTTTCTGGGAATGATTACCTTCTAGTCCTTTAATGGCGCCTGACTTTTGTTTATTTTCCAAAAGTGCGGTATGTTCATTCATACCAGATTATGACCCATACTATTTGGTGCCGTTATTTTTCACCATTATATGGTTTTACTCGTGATTGATCTCAATTTTCCTAATATAGTGGACAATAATGACGTCATATCCCTTTCAAAGGAGCACCAGTAAACCGAAAATCCCGCATATTCTTATATTCGTATTCTTTACACGCGTTTTTTATGAACGCTTATAAAGAAACTTCCAAACTAATAAAAGCTCGAGCGTCATATTCCTCTTGTGTTCATAGTAATATTAATTTATGACATGTTTAGGACTCATTCAGGGACATATTTATGATAATTTTTTTGTGCAAGTTTCTCCAGCAGTCTAAAAACGCATCATTTTTTCGGTGTAAAGTTTTGGCACGAATGGGGTTTTGCAATGATAACATGGATATATGTAGACATGACTTGCAGGTGATTTAACCATCAAATAAATAGCAATGAGTCAGACGGGCGTTGTATGCTTCTGTTTGCGATGTTCTTGTGTTTGTTAGTTTTATCTCAATCTAAATAGGGAAATGATTACTTCTTATGCAATAGATATTCCGTGTACAATAAGTTAACTGAATCGATTTCAAAATCATTTCTTTACTAGTAAGTGAAAAGGTCGTACAAACCTGCAATTAAAAGAGGCAGGTACAAACCTCCATCCGAATTCAAGTTGGTATTCCACTGCTCTAATAATTGCGTGGCAAGGCATCGCACCAATACATCAGATACTTATTCTACCGGAATGAAATATTCACTCTTGTATATTAGTAAACAAACTGCATAGACATATAGGTGTGTATGATTGGCTGCTAGCCTACCATAGACATTTGCTCTCATTTTTATCGACTTCGGCAGAAGATTATAACAGCAGTTGGATGTACAGGTGAGCAGGGAAATGTCCAAGGTAAGTAAAATATTGGAACTAAAATACCATCGGGGTCTTTAGATATACAAATTTTTGTTTAGTGCCAGTATTTTAATGTTGGTATTTTATCAACATCACATAGATGGTCTTGCTGTCTTTTTCTTTTCTTTTGCGAATGATTCTTTAGACTGATTTGCTGTCGAGTAAATTGTTTGATTTATTTGGGTTATGGTCTTGTAACTTTTTTATAGTTAGATATCATGGCGCTGATTACCAGGGATAGAGCGCTATTATACATTCAGATATACTTTTTGACAGCTAACAGGCTGATTTGTCGTCAACCTTGTTTGTCATTGTAACATTATCAATGTGATATATTCCTGTTTTGTGACCTATTTCTTAAGGGAAGTCACGTTTATTTATTTTAGCCAACTGCCATCAGATGTGGGCCGTTAAAATCGTTTGAGGTTTAACTTCATTTAACGATTTAGCTATTGCTACCTCTGAATACACAACTGCAGTTCTTTCTCGAGTCTGTGTGGCTATAAGTGCCTTTTTGATTTTTTGACTAGCAAAAATATCTTACAGGCGGTCAACTCCTTATTTTGAAAATGGAAGTTTTAAATACTGCTATTTCGTGAAACGCACACAATGTGAATTTCTCAAATTTCGTATGAAGGCTTAGATCTATACGATATGATGAAGTCACCAGCATAAAGAGCGTCTTCCATTGAAGGGGATAATGTTTTGACAATTCTGTTAATTTTATGTCCAAAAAGTGTAACCGAAATAATGCTGCCTTGTGGTATACCAATTTCCTGCTGATGAACTTCGGAAAGAGTCGTTCCATCCCGGACTTGTAATATTCTGATATTCTAATAGAAAATTTGAAATTAAAATTGGCAGGTTACCTTTAATACCTTTAATATCGCGCAGATCTTTCATAATGCCGTATTTCCACATTGTGCCTTTCCAAAGCGAAGAAAACAGCAACCAAGTACTCCTTCTTTAGAAAAGCCTCACGCACAAAGGTTTCAAGTCCAACCAAATGATCGTTGGTACCTCGCTTAGATCTAAAACCCTTTGTAGGGGTGATATTAAGTGATTGGATTCCTGATACCAAATTAATCTTGGGTTTATCATCCGCTCTAGAGTTTTACAAACGCAACTCGTAAGTGATATAGGGCGGTAACTGGAGGGATCTGTTGTATCTTTACCCTGTTTAAGGATAGGAATCACAGTTGCCATTTTCCATGACTTTGGGACATTTCCTAAAAATATTAAAAAATATCTCGAAGTTTTTCTAATGATGACTCTGGTAGATGTTTTAGGAACTGATAGTGAATATCATCAGGTCCTATTACAGAGTCATGTGATTTTTTTCAACGATTCTCGAAGTTCTAACATTGAGAAAAGTTGATTGTAAGTTTCATTGTTTTCGGAAGAGAATTTCAATTCACGCGTGGTCTTATATTTTTGAATTTTTTAGGAATTATTATTTGCAGACGATTTTTTGGAAAAAGAAGATCCTAAAGCATTTGCAATATCAAATTTCGATGTTGCTAATTTTCCATTAGTTTTCAGATGTCCCATTGTTTTGAATGATGTTTTACCACTGATTCGTTTAATCATGTCCCATACCTTTTTAGTTTAATGCATAATCGATTTATATGCATCCTAGCATAGGTAGTCTACAATGATATTGCTTTTTGTTAACCTGGTCCAAAGGACCGGTAAGCTCGTGGCATGACGCAGAGGTCGTTAACGTCTTTCTTTTAAATTATTTTTGTACAACTGATTAACCTTGACCTCCAAGACCCTCATGGAAGGGACTCAAACATGAAATATTGAGCAAATTCTTTGAAATAATCATTTTTCACTTGTATAAATTATTTCACATTTGGTGCCAGGTATGCTTGGGTGATGGGAAATTATTTTTACCTAAACGGTTAGTCTGACCTTCTAGCGCAGAGGATCGGAGCGCGATAGAGAAAATCGCTTTTAAATCCTTTTTCTGTTGGATTCAAGTAGTTTTAGCCACGGAGCCCGAGGAGAAGAACAAAACGGATGAAAGTAGTCACATTTTTAAAGTAATACACTTTTATTCGAACTTGGTCTGAACCATCCTTTGATGACGGAAACTCAATTATGTTTAAATGTTTTGTCTCGCCCTCCTTTTTAGCTTACGGCCGTGGGCCAATAGGGCAGATAAATGTAATTATTGAAATCAATATTTTACATTTGAAGGATTTTGACCATATTTCGTATCAAATATCATAACTTTATGTAAACAACGCGTCTGTAAAAGGACATGAAACATTTATAAAGCCAAAACTATTTTGTCTTAGGCTTGGTTGATTATGTTTTTATCAAAATCTAGATTGAAATTTCAAATTCCTCAGGTTTGGAGAAAATGTCACAATATACAAACGAACAAAAATATTTTAAAGTGAAAACTGAAAATGAAATCAGATAAACGAAACAGACCCCATGGGCCTCTTGCATTACTTGTCACATGGGATACGTAATTCTTTACCAGAAATAGCACAAAAAATACACAATATCCCGAACCTCTTGCAGATATTCTCATTTGTGTACATATTACGAGATATCAGGTAAACCCATTGTGGGTTTGATTAATGAATTTGGGTAAATATACCGTAATGATAAGGAAACGCAACTTCTTTCTTTGTAAAATATTACGCATTGAATATACATAGCAGTATAAAAAGTAAGAATATATCGGTCACCTCCGCTAATCCCCTGATAAATTTTGAAAATACGTCTCCTGTGATAAAATGAAACTATACCGTTTTACCTTGATTGTATTTTCCATTCAAATGATGACGATTTCCGAATATCACCAAGACATGAGGTTAGGTATTGTCTTGATAACTGCTATTATTTCAGCATTAGGGCACCTGAATTCTTGACGGCCTAATGAAGTCTTCCTTGATTAAAAATATCAGACACAATGAAGTAAGCTATTGCATTTCAAATGTAGGTTCATTGCGCATTAAAAGTATTTCATTAAAACCGTAAAATTTAAGTTGTCTTTCTTTTTCCTCTACGTATGTAGGCGAGTGGATGTTCACTGTTGTTACTTTGAACACTTTACCTCTATCAACTTGAAATAGCATTACGGTATAGAAGTGAATATAAGCTGTTATAAATGTGTTGTTTGACACTGTTCAACTAATGGAATGAACCTTTTTCTTGGCTAAAAATTTACAGCTCTAACATGAAACACGGAATAGTTAATCTGCTGTCGCGTCTTCTATTTTACTTTAAGTTTTTGACAGAAAATAACATTAAAGATGTGCAAGGTGGTATATATATATATATATATATATAACAAAAACCTACTGGAATTTATCTCCCAATACATCTTTGAAATTCGTCTCCTGTGATATTAAACAAAAACTATACCTTTATCCTGGGACTGTATTTCCATTCAAATAATATCGATTTCTGACTATCACCAAGACGCATGGGTACCAATGCATTTGCAGTCAATAATTGTTTATACAAAAAAGCTACGGGTAACCCAACTTGATAGAGGACAGACTCCCGCAATGCTCATGGGAGGGAGCACTCAACTGCAGGTCGTTACTCACTTCGGAGTGAGTAAATAGACTATAAGTCGGTTAACGTCTCAACGCCTGTAACGTCCGCGATGTCAAGATCGTGTAAGAGCATGTTTCATAGGCACTTCAACGCCAGGCACCTCGTATGCAATGGTTAAAGGCACATGTTTCCTTATGTTTCCGTATGCTACTACGGTTATTCATACTCTTCACGGATGAATCTCGATTCTCGTTATTTCGATCGAATGGCCGTCAACATGTTTACCGTTGCCGCGGGAAGCGTCTTGCAGACGCTTGTGCTTTGGGGTATGACATATTTTGGGAATGGTTTAAAGACATTATAAGACACCATTTGACCTTTCAGCATTACAAAGCTACGTACGGTTGATCAACCTCCATTTTGCCCCAATTTGTCCCCAATCGAACACTTAATGGATGAATTAGACAAAAGAGTTCGGAATCGAGCAAACATCCCATTTAACATCCATCAATTCGCTAATATAATTACCGTTGAATTGTGTAACTGGCAGCCATTGTCCTTATGTCATGCAATAGGTGTTTTAGGGACTATAGGGGCACACGATGTTGGGTATTGGCATGACAACTGCCGCTTTTTCGACTTTCGGACCTTAGGGTACCGGAATTCATGACGGCCTAATGAAGTCCTCCTTTGTTAAAATTCTCAGAAAAATGAAGTTAGCTATTGCATTTCAAATGTAGGTGTATTGCTCATTAACATTATTTTATTAAACCGTAAATTTGAAGTTGCCTTTCTTTTTCCTCTACGTATGTATGTGAGTGGATGTTCACTGTTGTTACTTTGAATACTTTAACTCTATTAACTTCGATAAAATGTTGCAACAATATGAATATAAGATGTTATAAATGTGTTGTTTGACACTGTTCAACTTATAGGATGAACCATTTTCTTGGGTAAAAAATCTATAGCTCTAACATGCAACACAGAGAAGTTAATCTGCGGTCATGACTTCTGTTTTATTTTAACTGTTTGACAGAAAACAACATTAAAGGTGGTGTATATATATATAACAAAAACTGCTGGATTTTTTTTATTGTCATTTGGATTAAAATGTTGGACAAGCAAAAACATTGTTTGTGTGTTGCAGATAGGAGAAGGAGTTCGACAGCTTCAGCTGTGGATTACAATATGTATGCTGGTACATATAGGAAACGGAGGTAACATGTAGACATATTCTTTGAAAGCGTATTACCGCCAATGTTCTGTATTCATGCCTTCCAGATTTGTTTGTATGTGCTTCTATTTACTTATCTAAAACTTCATATTTTTTCAATGTTTGCATTTTTGCTCATTACATTTCATGGTCATTAACTAAGGAGAGGTTTTCTTGCCATGTGTTATAAATCTCGTTACTCAAAAAAAAATATAATAGCCTATATCCAGTAATTATTTGAAAAGGGCCCTCGAGAATACGTTTTAAAATATCAATACGCTTATCCTCACGTAGCACGTGACCTCTGCATGGTACTTAGATATTGCAGACAAACGGTGATGAGTGCATTTCATCTGAAAATATACGTTTATTTTGATGAGACAGGGCAGGCCAGCCGGTTGCGTCGTTCTACACTATGTGTTTTCATGCATATGAATGGATTGTTTCATTCGACTGTCGTACTAAACCCTCCATTATATCGCCACCACATTATACCGCCAAAATAGGCATAGGACTGGAAAACTGAAAAAATGCAACGATAAATATCGAATAGGTCACTATGTATGTACCTTTGAAAACAAAAAGTAATAGTCTTCAATAATATAAACCATAACTTTATCCCTCCAAAAATCTATTATTTGTACAAATATTGAAAAAGTATTTGAGCAATAGTTTATTTCTTTCAGATTATGACTGCGCCGACAATCTTATAACCGGACCTTTGGGGGTCAATGATTCCTCTCTGACAGCCTCCTCTTATTATGACAGCGGAACTTGTTATCCTAAATTTGCCAGGATTAACCAGGACCTTACATTGTGTTGGTGCCCGGCCGTGTCTGATAAGTCGGAATATTTGCAGGTAAAATCAAAGCGGTTGATTATCTTGTTTATATTATCATGTATCAGTAGTAGTCAGTTTCGATATCAATTTTGACTTTTTGGTTGCACTAGAAGCTAATTGAATATAGTAGGACAACGTATAAAACACAAAGGAAATGTACATACTTATAAATTACAAGGAGTTGCTTCGATGTGCGGCTGTTTTGAACCAGTGTGTGTGTAAGTGTAAGTGTGTGTGTGTATGTATGTGTGTGTGTGTGTGTGTGTGTGTAAATGTAAGGAGTACGTGATGAGTGAATGAATGTAAAAGTTGGTACTATTTTCGAATAGCCATTATATCTGCCACCAGCCCCGAATTGTATTGCTCAGCTTGTTGTCTATCTATAACATTATTGGACTGATGACAGATATGTTATGGTCTACCATGTAGTTACAATATTCCAACCTTCAGTATATGAAATTACCACACTGTGTACGTATCTGCTGCAAAATGCACCTGCATCGCTCGTCCTAATAGCTACGTTTCAGCTGACATCTATTTTTTCACTTGTTAAATCTTCATTCCCACCCCTTTATCAGCGTGGGTGTACTGCTTCCTCTTGACTACTGATATCCTTCGTTCTATAATTAATTAACCACCTTACTACAAATGTTTGAATTAGTTTCTCGTTCACACGATAGAGGGGAGATAACTCGTCTTTTATAAGATTAAGATTTCATTTCGTGTTGCAGTTAATGTGTGAGATCAATATGTACTTTGTATTATTTGTATTCATTTGTCTACCATAGGGAGAGAACTTATATAGGCTTCAGTCTGTTACCTAATGTCCTTTGATTTTTTTCAATAAATTCTTGTGATATAGAAATATGTATAAATGAAACGATGCTTTTTAAAGTGTTATTGATTTCATGACACAGGTGGAATTCCAACATGCCTCTACTGTGACAGCTCTCATCACTCAAGGAAGGGGCGTACCGTTGCAATACCTGAAGTCCCTAACAATGAAAATAAGTCTTGACGGATCTAACTGGGAAACTGTCACTGATGAATCAGGCACCATAAAAGTGCATGCTATACTTAACTAGCTAGATGTCCTATGTCCTTTGTAACATATAGTTGGCAGACGAGAATTTTCTTTAAGTCTGAAAATAGTTTATTTATATATATATCTAAATGAATACTGTATTTAACATAATTCGAAAAATGTCTGATTAGACAACTAATGAAAGAATTCTTATCTGATCGATCTTGTCAGAATGACTGGGTAATCTGTTTATCAGGCAGCTATATTTTAACCTTCGAATACCTTAATGCATACAACACGATTGAATTATAAGAACCAGACAAAGAGAAGACCTTTACGGATAAAAACTACTACTGCCACAAAAAAAAAAAAAAAACTTGTTAGAAAAGCAATGTTGGCCAATTTTGTATGTTATAATAACACCTTATATCTTCATGTACTCTACACAAAAAATCAAGAAAATTCAAACATGGCAACATAATCATAAATCAAACGCAAATTCCATAAAGTCAAATATAAACAGAAGAAAGTAGGTCACCTAAGGAGCATGCCTATTTCTTCTCATCGTTCTTAGGAAATGTCCGGATATTGTTGTGGAACACGAACCTTATGATTTGATTTTACCATATGTAGAGTCCAATCGCTTTGATTGGTCTCGGCAACACTAACGATTGCTATAACAGCGATGGAACGAAGTTATTTTGTTCAATGTTAAGTCGAGATTTGGTTTGATGTACAATGATAGGAGGCTGCGAGTGTGGCGACGTCGGAAAGACCGCTTCAAAGGCTGCTGTGTAATCCAGCGTAGCAGATTTTGTATGGGTAGTATGATCACATGTGGCGGCATATCCGGCGGAAATCGAATTTGATTTGTCAATGTCAATGGAAATTTGAATGCAGTTTGGTATCGGGACAAAAACACTACCCGTTTTAAAGCGTTAAAGAGCTCAGTCTTTTTTCAGCATGAAAATGCGACGTTGTACAAGTCAAGTGGGCTAGGACGTTCTTACAGCGGAACACTATCCAACTTTTCTATTGGCCTGTTCTAAACCTAATAGAGCACATACGGGAAGTTCTTGTAAGACGAGTAAGGCGATGGCAAAATCCGCCCCAAAACGTACAGGAATTGGCGCAGGCATTGAATAAGGAGTGGAACGCCACCGAGCTCATAATTCGGCAACAGACAGGCTCTATGCGCCGGCGTTATAAATCTGTAGCCCTAGCTAATGGTGGTCACACAAGTTACTGACCTTGTACTTTGAGTCATGACCACTATAAGTCTTGTACAACACACAAACATACCGCACCATAACGATTTTGATCGTTATTTCAACGTACGTTAGTAGGAACCCAAATAAATCATTTGACTCCTCATTGCAATATTTTGTTAAAACCTTACATAACTGTCTGTCTCCATACATTTATTTACCAAGTATATTCATCGTTAATTTAGCTAGATATAGGTTCTTTAGGAAAGGTTATTAATTTCTACGTTCACACAAGTATCTGTGAGAAATCTTCCAATAATCAATTAAGTTTAGCATGTTAAAAACAATTAAGAATGCCAGTTGAATGCCTTGTTATGGATCCAGTTGAATTTTAAATCATTATTGGCCTCGATCCGCATGGTGTGTGCCTTCTCTTCTTGAACAGCTGGTGTTGTAGTGCTTGAATTTTACATGGTCAATATCCCATCGATATTCCTTTATTTTTTCCATCTGCTTTTAGCTGACATTGTAGTTCTTAGCCGGAATTTCAGTTATTATGTCCACAGGTTTATGAAGCAAACACCGACGGTACAACACTTGTGAGTCATGCGTTGAATAATATCCGCGCAAAATTCATTCGCATCCATCCAGAAACTTGGTATGATTGGCCATCCTTCAATATGGAGATTCTTGGGTGTCCAAAATGTATGTAATTTTTACCATTTTTATTCTTTTTACGTTTGTTGTTCATTCTTACCAACAGGTTGGCAAAAATGCGTCTTCGCCCTACATGGCCAAACTAGTAAACATTGAAGATTTTGATCAGGATTATGAACGATATTAAATATTACTCAATGATTGGACTTGATGATAAATCGGCCCATCGATATATAGACTGAAAACCTACGTGTATAAGTCTTTCACAGATTAAACTGTATTTTTGAAGCAAAGAACACTCCTGTTGGAAATAAAAAGTTAACCATAATAAAATTGAATTTTATACAACTATCCATAATAAGTAACAAACATATCATCAGATGGTGTGAAATTTCTTGCGGACAATGACTACTAGATATCATTATTGGTATCGTTTTATTTTGTATATATAATATCCAAACCTTGTACAACCAGATCCTAATGATAGAATGCCCAAACCGGATACGTAGATACATAACAGAGATAATAGGGAAGGGTTGCATCAATAGATATGTTCCCTTTATGTTAACGCAAAACGAATCTATCTTCATCTACGCAAAAGGAACACTACTAATGTTCCTACCTCGATAATATGCTTCACGTTTGGTATTAATATTAATCAAATGTTTGGATGAGTATGGTCTGCTCTTCTATATGATTTTCGATTTCAATAATTTCTCCAAGATACCCTTCAGAACTTTTGAATCAAGGAATTAACATCTAGAGTCAATATTAGTCGAGCAGATAACTGCCAAATGTGGTAGCAATCTGCACGTGCTGGTAAAAGCATCATTGAGTTTGCCACAAACGTATTTGTTACTTAAGAAAATAGATGTGGAGCCCTCGTTAAAAATCCCACATCCCCAATTTTTAAGACTTAAGACATTTTTTGGGTGATATAAAAAAAATTGTATCGTTTGTTCCATGCTTTTTGTTTATTGCTAGTTAGTTCGTAGTTATAAGTCTTTGTCTTTTTCAATAGATTTACGTAGGACCTGCTGGATTGGGAAAACTGGTGTTCCGACCGAAGAGCTTCCTGTACTTCACCAGACGTTCGCTCTTAACAATGGAATATGTGGGAAAGAGTGCCACAAATACCAGTCGTGTGGAAGTTATATGTTTGACTTCGATAATAGGGAATGTCACCTTTACTCCATTCAGACATTCAACGTTACGACAACTCGGTCAGCCTCTCTGGGAAGAAAAGTATATTTCGTGAATAACCCTGATTGTATTCCTTGATTTCGACCTTTGTTCAACGTGGACTGTCAACATATGTGTTTTCATTGATGTTTTTAATGACAACCTATGAAAGAAGAAGTCAAGTTCCCTCATTTTCTTTTACCTATACTGTCTATCATTTACTTACTTAGAGGAATTGTTTCTGATAGCGACAGGTGATGTGAGGATTCTGTCCAAATTGGCATGAAAAGACTCAAACTGACTATGTCATGGATTATATACATTCGTTATGATCGGCAATTACACGGTGAAAATAGCCCAGGGTGATAAGTTGAAAAAAGAATATTTGAAAAAGGAAATGTTTCGATGATATCTGGAAGTTGCACTACTATAAATCACTATCAATGGATCAGATCATTACACGTGTGGCATCAGTGTGGCTAGTACGAGATTTTCTGTAACTTGCGTGTTGACAGGATTTCGTTCATCGAGTAAGTTCGAATAAAAGTGAGGCCACGTTAGAAATCAAATGTGGATCGTGTCATTGTATCATTGTTATTGATTAAATGTTTCGGTTTACCTTTTTGTTCTGTGTTTTGTCATATATTTAAAGGTCGTAATATTACTCAATATTGGAAACCTACATTTAAACGTGATATCCGACAAACTGCGGTTTCTCCATCATTAAATTTCCAATAAATCTCATTATTAAACACGAGATTGTTAACAACGACTATTATATGGTTGCATTGGTTGATCTTATTTCCCTTTTCCCTTCTTTCCAATTTTCCTATTAAACACTGGTTACCTGAAAGTTTGTATTCCGTTGATAAGAACTCTCTTTTTTGTTTTACTACTAGACTAAATTTATCGAAGATCTAATCAAAACAGGTCACAAAGACATTGCGAAGTCTTTCAAAGGTGGGGGTCAACATTTGGCCCCCACATAGATTTCTATTATTTTTTCGCCATATTTAGATACATGAAATAACCTATAACCACATAAATGATTAGTAATTATAACTACTCATGGTCATACATGACCTCCATGTATAACACGAGGTTTAGTGACAAAGGTACCCTAACATAATGACACATACTGGCTACATGAGCCTAAAGTACATAAAACGTCCGTTATTTTGGTACCACATATGTTATATTGGCATAAAAAATGTAAGTATACTAAAAGGATAAAGAAACGCAGGGTGAACTTTAAACCAGAAATTAAGTATGATATCGGACTTTATTTAAAACGAAATTTTGTATACTTACAGATAAATTAAAGCTTAAAAATTTCCAAAGTCTGTATTTGGCATCTGACAATTGGTTTAGAGGTACTAACGATTAAATTGAATGGACCCATAGGATTTTGAAATTGAAATTGAACTGAGTCATCAATATCTGGTGTGTCCGCCGTTTGCTGTGGTCACGGCCCTTATTCTTCCGGTCATAGAGTTCATGAGAGCGTTAATCCGTCCTATGGGGATGTTGTCCCACTCTTCAATCAAAGCTCTGGTCAACTGCTCTCGAGTAGCAGGGGGTGGCTGGCACTTTCGAACCTGTCTATCCAACTGGTCCCGAAAATGCTCGATCGGGGACAAATCAGGGCTATATGGCGGCCAATCTAGTGGTTGAATGTTGTTGTTGGCCAGAAAGACTTGGCAAATCCTTGTTACGTGGGGCCTAGCATTATCCTGCTGGAGGGTTAGATTATGCTGCTGTAAGAAACTGATAACACGGGGTCGGAGGATCTCATCTCTATATTTAGCTGTTGTTAAATTGCCATCAATAACAACCAATTGTGATTTTAACCCGTGTGAGATTCCTCCCCACACCATTACTGAACCGCAGCCAAACCTATCCCTCTCTACAACGCAAGCGTCCGTAAAAGTTCGCCACGACGTCGGTAGACACGTTGACGGCCGTCAGATCGATAAAGACAGAATCGAGACTCGTCCGTGAAGAAAACTTGTCTCCACTGCCTCTGCGGAAACCGTCGTGGAGCATGTGCAGCGACCGAGGCCATACGAGCGGTACCTGCAGCAAAGGTCATTGCAATCTGAATTGTATGAACCTTCTGGTATGAACACTCCAGATGACCTGGCGAATGATGCAGATGAGGTTTACACTGATTTCATGTCATCCAACCAACTAACACTAATTTCTGTCGAGAAATTATTTGATGTTGGCAATTCACATAAAAGATTTGTCATATGTGGAAAAGAGGGCACTGGGCTATGCACTATACCCCAGCGTGTCAGGACAAATTTGATATTTTTCCATTTTCTATAGTGTCCCCCTGATCCTCGTGTTTGCAATGACCATGTAATTGGTGACTTTCTGAATCCTTTTTTGTAACTAGATCTGCAAACAAGGGAACCTTTAGCACTTCATCTTCAAGAAAGAGCTAATCAGGTTATCAATGACTTTCTTGAACTGAGCCATTTCATTTCTGCTGGTAGTCCAACCAACACAGGCATAGATGTAGACCATCTCAGAAATGAAGAATTCAAAGCATGAACTTGTTACTAACTAAACCAAATGCAGCAAATCCATTGCATTTGCTCCTCATACATCAATAGAGGATTATGTTTCCCTACATTCCATTTCTTTTCTTGGTTAAACTGAAAACCAATATTTCGTAGTCTCAATTTGGTGTCTTGTGTGGTCTGACAAAACAAACAGTATGTGTCTCATACATTTCATAGTATCTTAAAACCCTTGCGCCAGACCATTGTGCCACAACACTGCCGTTACAAGATGTTTCTACGTGGACAAAGTAACTGTAATCCTTAATGGTACCTATATATATGTCCAAAAATGTGCTGATCATCCCCTTCAAAGATCCTCATACTGTGGGCAAAAGAAGCGCAACTAGGTTAAATTCATGAGAATTGTTTATCCAGATGATAATATGCTAGACACTATTGGGCCTTGTTATGGCAATGATAATGATACAAATATATTGACATCAATTCTTGGAACAGTTGAAAACCTGACATTGTGGCTCAGTGAAGATGACAATGTGATTGCTAACCGGGGTTAGAGATGTGTTGGAGCTGCTGCGAGGTTAAGGGTTTTCTGTGTACATGCTTTCCTATCTTTTGTCAGGTCAGACACAGCATGATACACTTACTGCCAACGAGGATCGCCAGTGTACTAAGTCAAGATGGGTTGTGGAGAGCTACCATGGTCGACTGAAACAGTGAAAACTGCTTCCTTAGTGTCATAGAGGAACTGGTTAAAGTAGCTACTGCTTCCTTAATTGCTGTACGTGGACCAATTTATGTGTCCACACCAGAGAGGGACTTGAGGGACAGTCGCCTTGCTGAGCGAATACAATTCCGTTCGGTCCTGCCTAACACCTTGGCCTCAAGTGTTGCAGATGAAACTGGCCTTTCTAGGCGCAACAAGGCCAACTTGGTGGAGCTTGATGTCTGTTCAATAGAGTTTCCAGTACTGGATATGCAATATTTAGAAACAGTTACCATTTGAAAGTAGCACCCAGATGTATTGCTGAGCATCTGATTGCTGCTGGAGACTTGAAGTTTGGATCTATCAGCATGATTTAAATATTCTCCGAGGCCAAATCCATTCAAGGCACGAATCACAGTCAAAATACAACGTCCGGATTGAGTTTGACACAAATAATCAAGATGACCCTGTCAAAGATTACTACTGTGTCTGTCCAGCGGGCAAGTGAATCGTTGGGATGTGTGCACATTTTGCGTGCATTTTGTATTTCTTGGGCCATGTTCAGCATCAAGATCAAACTAACCCAGTCCATGCAACACTCAAGTTCAAACAACCAATCACTTTATCAGTTCTGCTATACTAAAACGCAATGTAATGTGCTGCAAACAGCAACTGTTCCATCTCTTATTAGCTTCTCAAAGAGCCACAAATTATGGATGGGAACAGACAAAGGCAAGACACGTCACTATTACTGAACATAATATAACTAATAAGGTCACTTTATTGACCTTCATCAAAAGATTTGTTTAAAAAAATGCTAACTAAATCTTCGAATTGTGAAACTGGCACAAAAATATCTTTGTTTTAAGAAATTTCATTTGTGTGACCTTAAACAGAGGTCAAGTTCAGCAATGTTAACCAAACTGATACAAATTGACATGAACAACCACCTTGTCAAATAGCAAGACCTACATACTTTTGTTTATTAAGCTGTCACTATTTAACGAAGATGAAAAAAAAATCAGCGTTTCTTGTTTTTAAGCCAATGTTTAAAATGACAAAGTTACCTGTTTCCATTTTTTTCAAGAATCCTCCTTTTGAAATATATCATATGTGGCCAACATTGAAGCAAGTATGAAAAACAGACTGGTTTCGGAAGTATTAAACAGTACTTTTCTCAAAAGTAATGGCTTTTTATATGAATTTTGGCTACTTTTTTTAACATAAAATAAACGTTTCTCCTGAAATAGTGTGATATGTGGTATGAAAATGTTTGTTGGTACAATTAATGACATAATTTTATTGGAATTGCCCCATGGTAATGCACTAGAAGGAAGTACATAACAACTACTTTAACACCCACCAAGGCGTTAGTAAAGGAGCTCCCATTTTATAAGAAATCAATTCCGAGACTAACTTATTTCCGTATTTAAGCTTCTGATACCCATATCTATTTATGGTTATTATATTTTGAAATTCCAAGTGGGGGGTCGATGCTAATGTTAAATTCTCATATATGTTGACCCCATCATTGCTTTCCGTTATATTGATGACGTCATTAACAAGATATTTAGTGGCCATGTCCATCGAATATACCAACTAGAAAGGGAAATAAAGGACAAGACAAGTTTTTCTTCGTCAGTCGCTTTTCTTGATCATCCACAACGAAACTATCAGAGAAATCTTTCGACTAAGCTGTATGCCAAGTGTGGTGATTTCATTTCCCTGTTGTTAATTTTCCATCTTTTGATAAATAATAATAATAATAATAATATTTTTAACAAGTACGAATTTCAGGGGTATTGTGTAATATATTGTGTCACCTACCACTATAATCACCATTTTTTATAATCATTACAGTGTTA